CGGCGCCACTGAGCCCCAGGACCGACCCACAAGCAGGCCGCCCTCCCCCGCTCCGACCGGGATCATGACAGTCCCCAAGGAGATGCCGGAGAAGTGGGCCCGGGCCGGGGCGCCCCCCTCCTGGAGCCGAAAGAAGCCCTCTTGGGGGACAGGTAACGGGAGGCAGCGACCGGCGGCTCTCCCGAGCCCATCATTCCCTCTCCCACCCTGACATCACTTGTCCTCGGCCGCCCCCAGCCTTCCCCGTTCCTCTCCTTGCACGCCCAGAGGTCCTGGCCCGGTGGGTCGGTCCCTCTCTCCCCCCCTGCATGGTCTTTGGTGGCTGAGCAGAGGTCTCCGCCGGGGGTCCCCTCCGGGGACGTTTCTGGGAGTAAAGTGATGTCCGAGAGGGAGGGCTCTGGGGCAGAGGATGTGGTGGTCTGAGGTTTTGTACCGCAGTGAGCTCTGCAGGGGTCTCGGGAGGGGGTGAGGGGTGAGGGCCGAGAGGAGGGGTGTGGAATGCTGCTCTGGCTCCAGGACTAAGGCATTATGTTTACTGCCTGACCAGGATGCTCCCCTTTTCAGCCTGTGGTAAACGTGACCCTGGGAGATGGATGGGCTGGAGAACCCTTCCTAAGACACCCCGTGTTCTGTCCCTGAACTTGGTGCCGACAGTCCCAGATCGGCGGAGTTTCAGGATAGGTGTAGGTCATGGGTTGCTCGGCCTCAGCGACAGCTGTGTTAAATAGGGGACGTGTATGCAGATGGCACACATTTAGAGAGCAGCTGTTTTCGTCTCCTTCATGTCTGTCTCCGTCTGCATGACCCATATCCCTGAACCCCCCCTTCTACTTGAAGATGAGCTTTAAAATTAGGTGATGTCATTGCAGGCCAGTCAGAAGCCACTGCTGCTGACATGTGACAAGCAGAGGCTCCTGTAGGGGGGACTGCACATGGGGCTGGGACACTGCCGCAGAGCAGTTCCAGGGCACTGTGACCCTCGGTCTTGCCACCTACCCACCTCCCGGTAGGAGAGGACGGTACCACTGCCGCTGGGTCTGCGGGGGTTCCCAGGGGAAGGAGCTTCTGTCTCCAGTTGCTATTCCTGTGGGATTCCCAAGACCATACAGGCCTCAGGCATTAATTCATGAATGGGAGGGGAGAGGAACGGCGTGCCCCCAGTGGAAGACCTTGAGGGTTGTTGGTGAGGAAAGGCATCTTGTTTTGTGAATGTGATACCTGCAAAGCCCAGCCATCAGGCTTGTGGTGAGAGGCGGACCAGAGGGAGGAATTTAGTGACACCTCAGGTGTGGCGCTAACTCCTTAAGACTGTACTGTGCACAGAACCAAGGGTCCTCTGTGCAAACCCCACAGCCTGGGGCGCGCCTGGCCAGCTGCTGGGCCAGGCCTCAGTTGGCTCCCCCTGACTGCAGTGTTGTTCCATTGCAGAAGAAGAAAGGAGGGCACGGGCCAATGACCGCGAATACAATGAGAAATTCCAGTACGCGGTGAGTGGCTCTGGACCACCGGTCAGACCCTCCTCTCGAGCTGGAAAGGGGAAAGGTGCAGGACTCAGGAGGGGGGACTGGAGAGTGCTGGGGGAGGGGGAGGCAGCCTCCTCACCACTCATCTGCTACTCTGCTGAATTTTTCCTGCCTTCACCTGTGGGTGAAGAGGTTACAGTGACCTCAGGAGGCTCCCTTCTCTTTTGTTCTTTTCCCTCCCACACCTGTGGGTGCCGGCTTTTGGGGACCGAGGTCGAGGGCAGGTAGATGAAGAGGCACCCTCAGTCTGCTTCTGGGTAGGGGTTGGAGGCTGCCTCATTGTCTTCTCTCCCACTGCCATAGAGTAACTGCATCAAGACCTCCAAGTACAATATTCTCACCTTCCTGCCTGTCAACCTCTTTGAGCAGTTCCAGGAAGTTGCCAATACCTACTTCCTGTTCCTTCTTATTCTGCAGGTAAGTAACCCGTGGGAGACCCTTGGCAACTCCCAAGGCCAAACACAGTCCAGCAGGAGAAAGGTCGAGGGGAGGAGAAGGCACAGGAGGGGCCTCAGAGGCATGCCTCCTTTTTCCTCTTCCCAGTTGATCCCACAGATCTCGTCCCTGTCCTGGTTCACCACCATTGTGCCTTTGGTTCTTGTCCTCACCATCACCGCTGTTAAAGATGCCACTGATGACTATGTGAGTTGTACCCATGGCCATCCCTTCCCTGGTCCAGCTGGATTCACGATATTGTGCCTGAGAGGTGGGAGGGGGAGGCAGAGAGAGAGAGAGTACATCTGTGAACAGGTATATATAGCTGCTACCCAGCGTGCTCTGCATGCCACCGATGCATCTGCATCCCTGGGAGCAGGAGCAGGTGTCTTACCATTCTTCGTTTCCTCCTTTTCAGTTCCGCCACAAGAGTGATAACCAGGTGAACAACCGTCAGTCTCAGGTGCTGATCAATGGAATGTGAGTGCCCGTTGGAGATGGCAGGCCTTGGGAGGACAGGGGTTTCCGGGAGCTTCTCTGGCTGCTGACAGCCTCCTCTCTGTCTTCCCGTTGCCTCAGCCTCCAGCAGGAGCCGTGGATGAATGTCTGTGTTGGTGACATCATCAAGCTAGAAAACAACCAGTTTGTGGCGGTAAGGGTGCCCTCTGGCCGACAGGTGCTTCCTTGGCGGAAAGGATGAGCCTCTCCCGGTTCGTGCTGCCTCCTAAACACTCTGGGAGGGGCCTTTCTTGAATGAGAACCCCTGTGTCGTATTAGTGTGGCTGGGGCCGGCTGCTTTCTGTCATCCACATGCTTGGGACTAAGCCAGCGAAGAATGCGTGGTGGGAGGAGGGTCCCCACAGAGCCCACGGGGGTGGAGGATCGGGTCTCCGCTTCTCACTAGGTCCTCTCTCTAGGCGGACCTCCTCCTCCTCTCCAGCAGTGAGCCTCATGGGTTGTGCTACATAGAGACAGCAGAACTCGATGGGTGAGTGGCATGCTTCGTGTCACCCCTCTCCTGCCTCCGAAGGGGTACCGAGCTTGTTTGGGAAAGAGGTCCCCAGGTCTGAGGGATGTGCACCTTTAAGGATAATTGGGTAAGCAGGACTGTGGGTGTCCTTCCAGAGAGACCAACATGAAAGTGCGCCAGGCGATCCCAGTCACCTGGGAGCTGGGAGACATCAGTAAGCTGGCCAAGTTTGATGGTGAGTCATTTTGGAGAAGTACCTTTCAGGAAGAGGAGGTGGTCGGGTTTTGGGGTTTAAATTGTACTTCCTCCCTTGGGCGTCTTGTTGCTGTGACTATGGAGCTCCCTGGACTCTTGTGGGGGTCGGTGGTGTGGAGGTGTCAGGAATG